GCTGAAAAGTTTGCTTGGTCACGGTGGGAGTCGAACCCGCCACCTTTGGGATACTAGCCCAATGTTCTACCAACTGTATGAGGTGTGGATATGGACAAAAATGCAATTGGATCGGGACAAAAATACAATTGGATCGGACAGTGTTTAATTAATGCGGGCTGAAAGCCATTGGGTGTTAAACAATTCAATCGGGCTTTAAACAATTCAATCGGGCTTTAAACAATCGGGCGTTAAACAATTCAATCGGGCGTTAAACAATTCAATCGGGCGTTAAACAATTCAATCGGGCGTTAAACAATTCAATCGGGCGTTAAACAATTTAATCGGGCTTTAAACAATTAGATCGGGCATAATCAGTCGGGCTTAAAGCCATCGGGTGTTAAACAATTAGATCGGGCATAATCAGTCGGGCTTGAAGCCATCGGGTGTTAAACAATTAGATCGGGCATAATCAGTCGGGCTGAAAGCCATCGGGTGTTAAACAATTAGATCGGGCATAATCAGTCGGGCTGAAAGCCATCGGGTGTTAAACAATTAGATCGGGCATAAGAGCAATGTTTAAATGATGCGAAATTGAACACTATTAGTGTGGGCGAGAATAATTCCGTTCCTGAGAGCCCAGCACAAATCCAATTACATATTTCAAATATTTCGAATAAAGCTCGTTACGCAAATAAGAGAAAGGATTGTAATGGCAACACACTATATTCATTAACACAGACAAAGTCCTCCGATAGCACACATAGCCAATTAAATGATAAGCAAAATGGATATACACGACAACGCTTTTATCAGAATAATAACGCAAACCAGTCCAATTATAATAATAATCAGCAACAATCCATTCCCACCCGTATTACTACAAGGAAACGAGTAAAAAACGTGGGTAGAAAATCCAATTCAAAACGAAATGAGTGCAAAAATATTTGTACTGATTATTGTAAGAGTAATATTTCAAAACCCTACGAACAGTCGAAAATTCGAAATGGGAATAATGGTAGAAATAACGAGGATTTTCGTACGGAATCATGGGGAAGAGACAAAATAGGGTGGTTCCAATTTTATTATTAGGAAATCATGTAATGAGTGCTGAAAAAGATGCAAATAGTCCCTCGAGAGATACTAAGAATACGGAACGAACTCGATCTGTAAATTTTAATAATTTAATTTATGTCAATTGTACAAGGGAACAGAAGACTTATTTTATGCCTATCAACTTTTGCCTGTTGAACACCAGATGAATAAATAGGAAAGAACTTTTTATTAATGATTATGTGTCTGAGAACGATATTGATATTCTAGCAATGACTGAGACATGGTTACGTGAGGATGATAATGAATTTTCTATTGCTGAAATCTGCCCAACGGGGTATCACTTTTATCACGTTACAAGGAAAAATGCACGAGGTGGAGGAGTTGGTCTCTTACTGAAGAAATATATTAAAGTGAAAAAACAATCTCAGAGAAAATTCTCTTCTTTTGAATATATTGATGTCACCTTGAACTGCCGTAATACCTGCACCAGAATGATTGTCATTTATAGACCACCCCCATCGAAGACTAATAAATTAAGCAGCTCAATATTTTTGATCATATTACCTGGCAATATATTAATGGCAGGAGACTTTAATTTTTATATAGATAACATTGGAGATTCAGCTACTATTAAGGAATCGTTTAATTTACAACAGCACGTCAATGGGCCAACCCACAAGAAAGGCCACACCTTAGACTTGATTATAACAAGGAATGAAGATAAATTAGTGACTGGTATCAGAATACATGATCCAGTAATATCAGATCATCTTGCCATACATTGTACATTACAGTTAGAGAAACCACCATTAGAACAAGCTGAAATTTATTATCGAAAATTAAACAATGTAAACATGGATAGTTTCAATGAAGATATAAAAGTACTAGATTTAAATGACGATTATGATCTTTCAGTCCTTATTGATAAATATGAAAATACGTTGAAAGAAACATTACAGCAGCATGCTCCACAAAAACGACGAATTATAACTCCTTTATCACCATGGTACAATGAGGAGATTGGTCAAGAAAAAAGAAATCGCAGGAAACTAGAGCGCCGCTGGCGCGCATCTGGACTATGTATTGACAGACAGTTATATGTCAAACAATGTGAGAGAGTGAATGCCATGATAAAGAATGCTAAGACAACATACTACTCATCGGTTATTTCCAGTAATGCACATAATCAGAAAGTGTTATTTAGTACGGTTGATAAATTACTCCATCGAAAGCCAGAAAAGCGCTATCCAACTGCGTCATCAACGACTGAACTCGTGAATAAATTTGCAGATTTCTTCAGTAATAAGATTGCTATTATATGGAAAGAACTAGCCATTGATTCTTCCCACTGTAATCAGCGAAATCAAGAGGAACAATATGCACAATGCGTTAAATTCATTAACTTTCAAGAAGTCACGGAACATGAGATTGAAAATGTTATTGATAAAGTTGGTAAAAAATCTTGTGAACTTGATCCAGTTCCCGCAAAAATCTTTCAAGGTTGTCAGAAGACTCTCTTACCTATAATTACTAAGATCAGTAATAAGTCACTTCAGTCAGGTTGTATGCCTGAGAAACTAAAAGAAGCCGTGTTGAAACCAAAACTAAAGAAAGATTCGCTGGAGTACGAAGAATACACAAATTTCCGACCTATTTCAAATTTAAAATTCCTGTCTAAAGTAATTGAGAAGGTTGCTGCCGGTCAGCTTCTGGAACACTTGGCTAATAACAACTTAGAAGAACCCTTCCAGTCGGCATATAAACGTTTTCATAGTGCAGAAACAACCCTATTAAAAGTACAAAACGATATTCTTGTAGCCATTGATAATCGTAAGTGTGTGGTGTTGCTATTACTAGATATGTCAGCAGCATTCGATACTGTTGATCACGAACTTTTACTACAACGAATGTTCAAAAGATTTGGGATAGATGGGCAAGTGTTGAAATGGTTTCAGTCCTATCTTCAGAATAGAACGCAAAGTGTAGTGATTGACGGTGTTAAATCTATCTCTAAAGACTTGCGCTGTGGAGTCCCACAAGGATCAGTTCTCGGCCCTATACTATATTTAGTATACACTTCACCCCTTGGTGATATCATCAAAGGTCATGGTCTTGATTTTCACTTTTATGCAGATGACTCGCAATTATATCTCGCTTTTGAGTCAACCACTGAAGGAAAAGCGGGAGCACTGGTACAAATCGAAATGTGTGTAAGGGAGATTGATTTGTGGATGGTCAAAAATAAATTAAAATTGAATGGGGACAAGACTGAGTTACTAGTAATCAATGCACGAAATCGTTTATGCCCTGCTGTACACCATATAGAAATATCTAAGTCAATAGTTCAACCAAGTATTTCAGCACGAAACATCGGTGTAACCTTCGATCAACACATGTCCATGGATAAACATATTACCAAGATTTGCAAGAACTGTTTTTTCCATTTGAGAAAAATAGCAAGAATAAAAGAGTACTTATCAAAATCAGATATCCAAACCCTAGTTCATGCCTTTATTACATCGAAACTAGATAATTGCAACTCTTTGCTATACGGACTATACCTAAATTTCTTATAGATCGATTACAGAATGTGCAAAACTGTGCTGCTCGTCTGGTGACAGGAAGCAGAAAATACGACCATGTTACTCCATTAATGAAACAATTACATTGGCTCCCCATCAGTCAACGCATCATCTATAAAATTGTTCTTATCACGTATAAATCTCTGAATGGCTCAGCTCCACATTACATTAATAATATGCTAAAACCTTACACACCATCAGCAAATTTACGCTCTTCATCCAAAGGATTGCTTACCATACCTTCAGTAAAACTAGTGAACTATGGTGAACGATCGTTCTCATATGCTGCACCGAAACTGTGGAACGAACTGCCAGAGTATATTAGAAAGAGTGAGACCTTGCCTATTTTTAAAACCAGATTAAAGACACATCTTTTTAAACAGTATTATGACTAAGTTATTATTTTAACAAGATTATTAGCAATTTTATAGTATTCTATATAGTTGTTGTTTTAATATTATCGACATACATAACATAAAGTAATTTTATATTCTTAACGAGAAGAGCATATAATTATTTTTTAGTAATTTTATAGTATAGTAATTTTAGTAGTCAATGCATGCACTATGTTCTAACACTTAGTATATATTTTTAACACTTGATGTTAAGCGCTATTGAGCTATGGGAAATGGCGCTATATAAATGAATTATAATAATAATAATAATAATTATTTTGGAAGCAAATACGCATGCGCAACTCAGCCAAACTCGCACTGCGCACGCGCAGACTATAAAAATAGATTCTCACTGGGGTTTCCCGATTTCCTCCGCAAAAACAACAAAATAAAATCACGGAATACTGATCAAACCTTGTAATATAAATACACCCGCATTAAATATTGTTAAAAACACATTGTATATTTTGCTTGCTCATATGCTAAATCACTTCAATTCATTGGCTATTGTTTCAAAATACCGTTTTAACGTTTAATTCTACTTTATATTAACATCCTAATTCAATACAAATTTGTGCGAGGTAAAAAACCCACCTGTATCAAACAGGACGGAGAATAAAAAATATATATGCATACGATTCACACGATCAAGGAACAAATGAAATATTTCGCTAAACTTAAAGCCTTGGCCAAACGTAAGAAACAATGTCGCGGAAATATTCGTGATTTTTAATTGGCTTTGATTGCAGACGCAAAATTTGCTTCCCAGAAAGCAAATTATTTCCTAACAAATTCAGATTTCAGAAGCATTTTATGAAACACTCTTTATCCGTTTGCCGACGCTTATAAGACAATATGACATACCGAAAGATTGGAAAGACAAATAATATGACAACAGTGTTTCCCAGTTCGTCCCGGGCTTTAAGGGATATTAATATAAACTCGAAATTCATCATAAAAAAAGATAAATTGGGAGGAAATATAAAATTCATTAACATTTACAAAACATTATAGCTATCTATAATTGAAAGAAATGTTTTCTGAACCCAGATTTCCATCAGAGCAATAAAATCCCACTTATTGGATCCTGGCCAAGGGCTTGCATGCTCAAAACGAGATTGCATGTATTCTGCAATAAGCTGTCCTGGCTTTTGTCTGGTAAAGTTCTACTTCTCGTATTTGAACTATTTCATGCATTATATTTATATTGTTTCATAAGTTGGTATTTAGCCACTATCTAGAATAACAAGGAACGATTCAGCCTGGTTTTTCGTGTCCATACTAGTTGACGTTTTCTTATAGATTTGCTGCTGTGAGTTTCAGCTCCTCCACCAGGGTGCGTTTTAGCTTCTCAGACATGACCATACTGTTAACTCTGTCCATGAGAGGGATATATGTGTTGATAATATAAATACTGTGGATCCGAATGAGAATATCGAATAAGTAAATAAATACTGATCTACTCAACTGATAATACCTACATGAATTACCATCATTGTTCACCTCAAATCATTAATAGTTCATGAGCAAATTAGCCAACCTTATTGCTTATTTTGCTTACATGATAATACTAGATACTTTATGAAGTATATTGATCCTGTAGTGTCCTTGGACTGGATTAAAATTAATTCAGTCCTTGGACTGGATCAAAATTAATTAAGTAGACATTACCGGATTTATTCGTACATGAGATGTCATTTCAGTCAAATCCTCCAATTCGGACTGGACTAGATTTCAAGTCCTCACATTTTGATCCAGTCCTCTGATTGGCCTCGGACGTGATCAAATTGTGTGGACTTGAAATCTAGTCCAGTCCTCATAGTCGGATTTGAAATATTATCCTTTGTCAAATCAGATGCCAATGGTGGCCAAGGAAGATTCAGTTTTGGTATTTCTTGCAACTTAAACAATGGTACAGCTCTCATCATCAAAGTCCTCATCATTGTTTTCAGACTTAGGGCCTGTTTATATAGAAGCTGGGCTGGCCTGTTAAGCAAGACAGCCCGGTTTTAAAGCAAGATCTCGCTGTGTAGTTATTTTTATAGTAAAAATTATCATGCGTTTATATGGACAAGCGGGCTGGCCCGGTTGCCGAGATCTCGTTTGAAAGAGGCTACTCAGGCTAGATCTCGCTTACTGGAATGGAAATTTCTCCATATAAACATTTACAAGCGGGCTATCCCGGTTGCTGGGATGAAAGTTAAAAAATACCGCCGCAAGCTATTTTTAACAACTGTCAAAACAATACAATGTAACAAAATTGTCCTGGCAAGCGGGATGAAAGTTTCTCATATAAACACAAGAGAAATTCATCCCGCTTACCGGGCTGCCTCGCTAAGCGGGCCAGCCCGGCTTCCACATAAACAGGCCCTTAATTGACATATGTTCCTCAACCAATTCAGAAGAATCCAAATTTTCCACATATACAATCTCACTAACATTTCTCATTTTCGGTACACAGAACACAAGTTGGGGATAACTTTTCATCAGTCGTTGCTTGAGTTTAAAAGCTCTATATCTAGATGCATCCACATTCTCAGTGTCCTTAGCAATGATAACAAATTTCTCCAGCAAATCTTTCATATACTTTATTTGCTTATTTCCGATGACCTCCATCTCAATTACTTTCTTACAGAATACATCATAAGACTCTCGTACACTGATACTCTCGTTGCTTCTTCGTCTCTCTGGCGAAAAATATTGTATAATTGCAGTAGCAAACTTTGTGATAGCGGATTTCCAGAGCTACACAGTCTTTCCCCTGGATTTGCATGAGTATCTGTTGATCATTCTTTCTCTCGGCAGCTGTACGTAGAAGACCAGCATCAATTGTTTCTGCCAAGATGAGTGGGGTTCTTCTTCTCTTCTTAGTTACCTGGTGTGAAACAAAATAAATTATTAAACTAAATATCTGCTAATAACAAGGTTTGATGTTTGTAGCATAGAAACTACTTTACCCTATATAAACTAAATTGATCACAATTCAATATATTATAAAACCAAACCTGAGAATGTTGTGCACATTGCGCTAGTATTATACCTATCAAAATACCATACCTTGTCTAGTGAGAACCATGAGGCGTCCTTCCACAAATATTACATATCTCTGGGAGTACATGCGCGTTTCTTTTAGGCAGGGCCTTTATATTTATAGCTTCTGCGACTGATTGGCGTGTATTAATTTTTCGCCTTGGTTATATTGCCTCCACAGGTTCCACGTGTGATTCTTCGGTAGAAATTATAGTTTTAGAGCTAGTTCCTTCTGCTTTTTCTTCTTTTCTCTGTTATCTACGGATCTTCGGTTCATCACAAAATCTCTTCCAGCATTTCATATGATGGTTCCATTCTAAGTTAATGGTGTCAGAGTTCTTCTCGATGTATGAATTGACAGATCCGTCATCGATGTTCTCGTACGATTTCTTAGCTATTTCAGCTTGTTGACATTTAAGTTTGGCCCATTTTGACCTACACTCAAGAAATTTCTTAAGCCTTTGGCGTGTAACAAAGTTGCTCCGTAACGCTCAAAATGCATAAAACATGAGGATATTCGAGTTTTATAAATATCTTCAGCCATGTTTATTTGCATAACTGAGCGTATTTCCACTTCGAAGCATGTGCGTTGGTTGTGCGCGTGCGCAGTGCGAGTTTGGCTGAGTTGCGCATGCGTATTTGCTATCAAAACAATGGCGGTTCGCGCGAAAATATCAAACTTTGGAGGGATTTTTCTCCCAATTGTGCACGTGTTTCGCTTGGGGAGCAACGGATTCTAATAAAGTAAGTTTTTATCTATTTATTCATGTGAAAATTACGTAGTTCCACGAGGGGTGCAACGGAATCCGTTTTCTAAGCATCTTTTGGATGCTCATCCCACGGCCTATATACAACGGCCAATTGTACAAGAAAAACTGATAATTTACTCATCCCTGCTGGTTGCTATAATCTAACATAATATAAAATAATCCAACAGCTCCTAGTTATTAAATTTCAGTTTCATTCGAACGGCAAAACGCAGTCAAACGGCAACACGCTGGATATGTTGAATCGCGCGCGCAACTCGCGCGGACATATCAAGTCAGCGTGGGCAGAGCCAACAAGAGCCAGGCATTAACCGGCCTGAGTTCTGCTATTTAGGAAGATATTTTGATTATGAAATGACTAATAATGAACACAAACTGGAACTAATCTCCCTTCTAACAAATCTAATGAAAAAATAGATCTCAATCCATTACATCCGAAGAACAAGATTCTACTCTACAATCGTTATGTTTTATCGAAACTCTCCTGGCATCTTACTATTACATCTATTTCAAAAACCTGGATTTCGAAAAACCTGGATTCTTTATTTACGCAATATGTTCGCAAATGGCTTGAGGTACCTATTTCTGGAACGCTGAGTAACATCTACCTAACCAGCAACAAATTTGGTCTTAACATCATCCCCCCATCAACTAAGTTTTTACAATGCCAGGTAACAATTCGGAATGCTTTAAAATCATCTTCTAATGAATCAATAATCCACCTCTGGAAATCAACAACTAATCATACTAATATTCAATACGACCAATACAGTTCGACGAAGGAAGTGATTAAGTCATTTCGTGATGATCAAGTAGATAAATTAACAAACCAACTAACATACCAAGGCTCATTCTTTACCAGTGTATCAAGATTTTCCCTAACCCAAGTAAATACGATCTGGCCAGCCTGTCAGTCCAAATTACCTAAAAACATTTTCAACTTTACCATTCGGTATATAAACAATTCGCTGCCAACCCGTAGGAACCTTCAAAGATGGGGGCTATACTCGTCTTCTGAATGCTCGTTCTGCATTAATCCTGAATCTCTATTGCACGTCGTCGCTGGTTGCAGTTCCTACCTCGATCGATTTACTTGGAGACATGACTCAATTCTAAATTTCATTGCTAATAACCTTCCATCAGAACATATCCAGACCATTTATGCTGATTTGTCGTCATTCTCTAATCCTTCTACAATCACTGGTGATGATTATCGGTCTGATTTACTAATTTTGACGAAAGACAATTGTCTGTATATTCTGGAATTAACCGTTGGATATGAGACTAACCTCAGAAATAATGTTAACAGGAAATACTCCAAGTATAAAGATATGATTATGGAACAAAAGAAAAATTATCATGCGGTAAACTTCATCAACCTTTCGATTAGTGCACTTGGTGTGTTTGACAAAGAATCTTCTGGTTTTATAGACATGTTAGAACATTTTAATTTAGATAAAGCTCATGTAAGATACGTTATTAAAAAGATTATTAATATTGCAATAAGATCAACCTACTACATTTTTTGTTGTCGAAACAAGAACTGGGTGAATCCGGACTTGATGAAACTTTAAAATTTTTATTGTATAACTATGTATATAGAGTAATAGAGTAAATTTAATCGTGCGTTATAAAATCATTTAATAGTAATATATCAAGTTGCCAATTGTAAATTACCTTATATAGTGAGATTTGCAGTTGTAAGTTTAGAAAATTAAATAAAGTTTCCATTATTATTATTATTATTATTATTATTATTATTATTATTATTATTATTATTATTATTATTATTATTATTATTATCTATCTGGCACTCTAGAACATACTGCACAAATGGCTGACATTATTAATAAAGCTCGGATCAGACAACGCTCTGTTGTCATCACCCTACTTGATCTTAAGAATGCCTTCGGCGAAATCCATCACAACCTCATTCAATCCGTACTTGACTACCACCATATCCCTGATCATATAAAATTTGTTATAAAAAGTTTATATACTGATTTCCAAACCTCGATAATTACCTCAGAATTCCGCACTCCTTTTATGACAGTTGGCCGTGGCGTATTGCAAGGAGATTGCCTCAGTCCTCTTCTTTTTAACATGTGTTTCAATACATTCATTCAGCATATCAAGGCTGAAAAGTACCGTCAATTTGGGTTTTCCTTCAAATTACTAAATCCCATCCATTGGTTCCAGTTTGCTGATGACGCGGCTGTAATTACTGGCCAAGAATCCGAAAACCAACATCTATTAAATCGATTTTCTATCTGGTGCCAATGGTCCGATATGATTATCCGAGTTGACAAATGCAGTACCTTTGGCATTAAAAAAGCGATCACAAAATCAGTTCAGTACTTGCCAAAACTCCTCATCAGCAATCAACTAATACCAAAAATCACCATTGGAGAATCATTTCAATATTTAGGACGTTACTTTGATTTCCACATGTCGAATGATAATCACAAAACTGAACTAACCACCCTACTTAACGAACTAATGTCTGATATTGACTCAAAGCCACTACACCCCAAAAATAAACTGCTCCTCTACAGTCGCTACGTCTTGTCCAAGTTAGCCTGGCACTTCACCGTCGCAACACTCTCTAAAACATGGGTTACTGAAAATATCGACTCTATTGCCAACAAATATATCCGCAGATGGCTTGAAGTACCAATATCAGGAACACTAAGTACTGTCTTTTTAACAAATAACAAATTTGGCCTGAGTATTTATCCTCCATCTGTAAAATTTATCCAGTGTCAAACAGTCCTCCGAAAAGCTTTAAAATCTTCTCCTAATGAATCAACTAACGACCTGTGGAGAGCAACCAGTAACCATACTAATATCCAATATGACGCTTATAACTCTACTAAGGAAGTTCTCAAAGATTTCCGTTCTGGACACGAAAACAAACTCCTAAACCAATTAACCAGTCAAGGATCCTTTTTCTGCAGCGTCACGAAGTTCGCTTTACCTCAGCTTAGCAAGGTGTGGTCCGTCGCCCAATCAAAGCTCCCGAAAAACATTTACAACTTTACCATTCGTTATATTAACAACTCTCTTCCGACGCGCAAAAACCTAAACAGATGGGCAATATCTTCAAATTCAGACTGTTCTTTTTGTCTTAGCCCTGAAACATTACTACACATAGTAGCTGGATGTCAGTTTTATCTCAACCGATTTACGTGGAGACACAATTCAGTCCTGAACTTTCTTGCTCATCAGTTACAAACTGTTGACGGTTCTACTCTCTACGCTGATCTAAATGGATTCAAAAGCCCTTCAATACTTACTGGTGATACGTATCGCCCATATTTGTTATTATCGTGCTCAAATGGTTCCTTATATGTGGTTGAACTCACCACTGGTTATGAGACAAACCTCAAAAACAACGTAAAACGGAAGAAGGATAAATATAGAGAATTATTGAGACAGCTAGGTAAAAATTTTAACCAAGTTAAATTTATAAATCTCTCCATCAGCTCTTTAGGTATTTTTGCAGAAGGATGTTATACATTTTTAGACATGTTAGATAGTATTGGTCTTGACAAAAACCACCAAATGTACTGCGTTAGGAAAATGATGACTATTGCTATTAGAACTACATATTACATTTTCTGTTGCCGAAATAAGGAATGGGAAAATCCGGATTTACTAACAATTTGACTTATCTCATTGTATATATATATTTATCGCTTCCTTTATTTAACACTATATCTGGGGGATATCTTGTCACGATGAGCTCTGTTTTCTGTGCATGTTCTTTACACGCAATAAACGAGTCAGACACCACTTGGAATAATTATGGCAATGTGCGTATTGCATAACGCACATGCCGGTTTATTAATTTTGTAATCAATGATATAAGTTTAACATAACAAATTATTAACCAAAGTAATTCATTAACAGTTAGCACAGAAAAGGTGGGGGTAAAAACGCCCACAACTAACAGTAACAACTATAATAACTAATATACAATATACAAGTAGAATAGTCTTGCGTTCAGAAAAACGGGGAGGAGGGTGGGGAAAAACTTGACTTTAAGATACAGACGACTTTGCGCTACCAAAGCGAAGAGCAGAATGAACCAGATGCGCATTCTGCTATAGATATGTATCACCTCTCCCTTCCGTTTTCCTGCACGCATTACATTCATGTGATCAGAAAATTACGGGGAAAATACCCATGTGTCCCATGTCAAGTTTGTCTATTTATATATCCTAAGCTCAGGAAGCAATAAAATCTTCATTGGTATGCCAATAATTCCTTTATCGCTTCCTTTATTTAACACTATATCTGGGGGATATCTTGTCACGATGAGCTCTGTTTTCTGTGCATGTTCTTTACGCGCAATAAACGAGTCAGACACCACTTGGAATAATTATGGCAATGTGCGTATTGCATAACGCACATGCCGGTTTATTAATTTTGTAATCAATGACATAAGTTTAACATAACAAATTATTAACCAAAGTAATTCATTAACAGTTAGCACAGAAAAGGTGGGGGGTAAAAACGCCACAAGTCTACTTGGGTAAAGAAGACATACCCCACCCCAGCGTGACAAGGCATCGACAGATAAAGTGATTACAGACCGATGAAACAAGCAAGCAACAATTCTACAAAATTGAGTGATAGTATTGGCAAATATTAATTAAACTGCTCATAATATAAAAGGGGGTGTTAGCTATACCCAAACAATTCGTGCCCCTGCGTTGAACTGCCAGGTATAACCACCACCGACAAGACAAAAGTGTTCTGATAGCCTTGCCCCTGCGTCAGCATCACAGAACACTCTAAAGCAGTATGTCGCATATAGTAACGTGCATCATAATAATCATTGTAGTCAAGTCTTGCCCCTGCGTCAACTTGCCCAGTCAGATGTGCACGGAAGCGGAGTTTGCCAAAATATTAAATGCTTATTGACAGCCATGATCAATCCGGTGAAAAAAGACAAACAACCAAACTCGGCCTATCTAGGCAAAGCGGTTGAGCACAGGCCTGGACCTCGAATATACTTACGAAAGGCGTCGGATTTCCACCGACCCATTGATCGAATTTGGGCATCAGAAAAACCGCATTCCGCAGCAAATGTTGCCGCGCCAATGCGGAAACTATGTCCTTTGTATTTAGTTGGATCGAGACCACATGTCTTGAAAATGAGTGCTAAATAGTCAGTAAAAAGTTTGCGTGAAACCGCGTGGCCCTCGTGCGTTCGAAAAAGCGGGCCATCCGACAAACCCCGGCGTGAAAAATAATCCAGTAAGCTCTGCACTGGGCATATATCTGAACGACGCTTAAGAGCGATTGATACATTTGTTTGGTTGTAAGAATGCTTAAAATCAAAAAATGTGATTTTCAGTCCAATTACGCCGCCTGAATGGTCAACAAGTTGGACAATCTGATTTAACTGAAGCACACTCGATGACCTGGGACAACAAGTGATTTCCCCAACACGTAAAAAGGCAAAAAATGCCGTTGTACACATTGCTTTAAACATATACGCACGGTATTCGCTCGCACATATGGTTGATGTTTGTTGCAACACCGTGCGAAGGATAGAAAGAGTTATGGGCATGCGTGTATCCAAGCGCGACCCAAGTTTGCCATACCCTTTCAACATTTCAATCACCCAAAAGACCCTAGTGGGGTCTGGCACGCCTGCAAGGCGATGATAATAACCCAGTGCAGAGACATACGTGTTCGCAGTCGAAGCAGCATAATTGCGCTGAAACATGTAGGCTATAAACAAACCCAAATTAGAAGGCGATATGGGCAAATTTACTAAAGCTGTACGGAAAACTACATTTGAAAACTGGCTATACAGGTTCCAGGCCCGGCGATAAGTAGGGATTGATGATGGCTGTAAACTAGATTGAAGTAATTTAGATGTTATATTGGCCAGTTGTGTGGTAGTAGTTGATCTGGTATAACTGCTGGTGATGGTTGTACACCCACTGGAGCTAGCTGTTTGAACTTCGAAACCTGTAACCGGGATAAACTATCAGCTAAAACGTTTTTAACTCCCGGAACATGGCGAGCACGAAATAAAATATTGTACTTCAAACATGCCAGCACCAGTCGGCGAACAAATATCATGACAGTCACGTCACGAGAAGTGGCTTTACTTATAATATCAACCAACGCCGCATTATCCGTATAAAACGTGATCCGCTTGTTGCGCATCTTATCTCCCCATACAAAAACACTGAGTACAATTGGGTAGAATTCCAAAATAGTGATATTAAGTCGCTTCCAATTTTCAGGCCACTGGCCAAAAAGTCACTCGCAGCCAAAGACCGCACCGTAACCCAAACTACCAGCCGAATCAGTGTAGAGATTTAAACTGAACGAATCAGTCCATACGTCGCTAAGAAAAAACGATCGGCCGTTAAAATCATCTAAAAAGGAACGCCAAATTTCGAGATCCGCTTTTACCGATTTGGTAAGACGGATAAAATGA